TAGGTGTGCCTGCTTGAGCAGGAAGGTTGGACTAGATGATCTGTAGAGGTCCCTTCCAACCTTAAATATTCTGTGAATCTGTGAATCTGTGAATCTCTGGTGTGCAGCATCTGCCCAGGGTTGGTCTTAGGGTTAGCCAAAGAGAAATTGGAGCTCRTAAAGAGAGAAGGGGCCCTAGAGTCATTGTTGACCTCTTAAGCTAATGTAGAGCTTTTGATGGTATCCTTCCGTTTCATTGGTAAMATGATAGTTTTAAATCCTGAATACAGCACAAGTAAAGGACAGTAGATTGTCCTAGGATAGCAGGTGGGTAAGTAAGTGCAGAAGCTTTAGAGGGGCTATAGCTTTAACACCAGTCTTGAGTTTGGATGCTTGTCCATGGCTGGCTCAATCCACGGCATCTTGACCTCATTTCCTGGATACAGGAACAGAAATGCTTCCTGTATCCAGGCATTTTCAGGTATTTATTTTCTCTGATGACTGTAGAAATTGGAAGACGTCTTTGGTTGAATGTATGATTCCTTGAACACTATGCAACCAAGCATGTGGAGAAAAGGAAGATGGTTTCTTCCCATCTATGGTTTTGTGCAGCCCTCACCTGTGGAAACAAGAAGCAAAGCAGGTGCTCACTTTACATGCTTACGTAAGTCATTTTGCCCRAAGCCTGAACGCTGTGAGATGGTTAATGCAAAACTTGCTCATGCATCAAGTAAYATTAATTTACCTTTACACTCTGCTTTTTAAAAGTAGTATTATTTTTAATTATTTTCAAAAATACTCCTTAATTAAAAACTCACAGATATGAAGCTTGGAAGAAATGTGGCCAGGACATTCTTGGATTACTACAGACTGAACASCTTGGTGGAGGGACCGCTAGCACCTATTCCTAAAACTCGGTAGGTCAGAAAGCAATTTCTTTTGCTTTAGCAGGGCTGCTTTTTTAATATCTTTCATGACTAAACTTTAGTGCTACTGCATTATGGCTTTATAATAAGCGTGCTAGTCTAACTCTGCTTATTTTATTGAAATTCCATTTGGAAATAAAGCATTTATGATCAGGAAAGATACCTGGTTTATGCCTGAGAAAATATTCAGGGGATTTTGGAGATATCGATATCTTGCTTGAATTCTGTCTGCTGTCACCAATCTCACACCAGTATCTTTAACGGATTTACCCTTCATTTATCTCCTGTGAGTGAGAGGAGAATCAGACCCACTTTATTTTGCAAAGTTTTAGTTCTGGAAGGGAAAACTTTTGTCAGTGCTTCAGGGAATTACAGGCGAGGCTGTGCCAGAGGCAGGATTCTCCATCTCCTGTTGGATCTGGGGCAGCTCTGACAGTCCATGGCAGGTTTCCTGCAGYCGATCCAGCCGGGACGTGGTGCCTGGGGTCCCCTCTCACCATGAGCTCTTGCTCTGGTTTTGCAGCTGTGAGAACAGCCCATGAGCAGGACAGAGGCTCTAACAACCAGGTTGGGGACTGCWTGTCCTGAAGGAAGTCCTTTCGGGTGTGAAGTCAGGCCACCAATGCTGAATGCACAGAAGTAAAAKAAGGGTGTTCCCAAACTCGGATCCTTGCCCTGCATTGCTGGACCCTGCATTGCTGGAGATCCTTTAACCATTTCCTGCATAGTCATTTGGCCAGTTCTTTATATGCATGGTCAGAAGAAGCTTGGTTGCATTAGATGTTTAAAGTGCCCTGTTTTGGGTCCATCTCCTGCTCATGGTCTCAACGTGCCAGTTCAGACTGCCTCAAGGACTGTCAGCTCTGCAGTTCTGAGTGCTCTTATCTGCAGAGACCTGCAGGGTGAGCAGAGAAAAGCATCCAGCATCTTCCTCTCCTCCGGAAATTGAATGTATCATTTCTTTCAGACTCCCAGGGGCCACAGCCTCCAAGGCTAAAAACCCATGACTATCACTGAACCTAATTACCACCTGACAGCAAAGTGCTTTTCTGTGGCATCATTCAGTTACCTCATCAAAAGGAATGCTTGTTTGCCCGCTTCCTTTTAAATTAAAGAACCACTGACAGCGGTAACTGAAGCATTTTAATCTCATCAAATATCCATGTCCATCTCTATAGAGACAGCCGTGCCGGCAGGGAAAGATACACATCTGTAACAGGGATGCACGGAGCATGTTTTTCTTGTTGCCCCACTAGGAGCTAATGGGGTGAGGAGGCTTTTGTTTGGGGAGCGTTACCTCGCACTAAAATCCCATGTTCAGTAAATGTTCCGCCCAAAGCCAACRGATGTTTAAGGAATAGATTTTTAAGGATTCATGCTCTTAATTTCCTGATAGCTTCCAAGTACCAGCTTTTCCCTGTAAGCAGACAAATGATTTTCATTTGTATTCTGGGCTTTGTCACTTGACGTTTGATCAGAGTCTCTGTGTGTGTGTGTGTATATATATATATATACGTGTATATATACACATATATATGTGTATATATATATATATACACACACACACATATATATATATATAATGTACATCAATGAAATCTTTCTTTGAAGCTGCTGTGTTAACTGCAAACCTGTCCAAAATGAAATTTTGTGAACTGCTGGGAGAGGGAAGGGACAGGGTTGTGGCTTCAATTATGCCTTGGTTAGGCAATAGTGATAAGAAGAGATTAGAATATGTAAAATGATGCTAAATATCTATGTGATCAGAACTAATTATATGGTATGGTTTTTAGCTTGAAACAGGACATGTCGTGCCCACGGTTTATGAAAATACATTAAAACATTGTTGAATTTGATATACTTTTTGAAAGAAAGTTGCAGAGTTTATGAATGTATGTACATGTAGGAAAGGAAAACTAATTGGCTCCTTTGTCCCAGGATACTGTAGACAGAATGATTTCTGTCTGAGGGAGGATCTCGTGTGGGCAAAAGGTGTTCCAATAGCCCTGGAAATAACAACCTTAAATGCTTATGGAGTCCATCTGATTGAAGGATCTTTGCAAAGAAAATGTTTATGCCATTATCACCATGTGGAAGAGAAGGAAATTAAGGCATGGCAAGAGGTAGCAAGAAGCCTTCTTGAATGACAAAAATGCAGTTCTCACCCAAATTTAGGCATCTTTTCACAGAGTTTAGTCCACCCAGGCTTTCCAGCAACAGCCATCCTAAAGCACAGGCTGCATGGGTGGTTTGGTGGGAAGGGAATTAGGATGAGCTCCAGTCAAAGACAAGGAATGATGCCACAACTCTGGTTACAGCACCAAGGTTGTAGCTGAAGCCCTAGTGCCTCCATTATCCTTGGATAAAGTGGATTATATTGTGTAGCTTATTCCTGTGAGTCAAGGGAAATAGCTACACTTGGATAAGGTGCCTATGTGCCAATATACGTGCAGCCAACTACCTGGATCTGCATTTTTTTGTTAAAATCCCACCCACTGTCATCTAAAGAAGACCTTAGGATAAAAGACACAAGTAGATGAGGCCTGTGGTTTGCAGTTGCTGAGCTGTGACCATAATGCTTCCAGGGATGGGGATTCACCAATTTCCCAAGGGGCTGACCCTGCCAGTGGGAGGGTCAGGTGGAATACAGCATTTTGTCCTTGGATAATTGGTTAATATACAAAAAATCTTGAACCTGTTGTTCTGTGTTGCCTCTGAAGTGTTGGGGGTGAGTCCCTTTGCATTGGGCAACTCTGGTTTCCAACCATGGCTCTCACATGTCTTCATGAGCATGAGGTGGGGTTCACAGCTGGCCACAGGCATCACRTTAGGGGCCTCTGCTCCCTCTCTAACCAGAAGACCTTCTGGGCAAACCTCAATTTCTGAAATAGCTCTAAGCCCTGAACACATTTCTGGACCATATCCTGACTCCACAGAGGTTGGACATACAAATGAAGTGCCTCAAGTGGCTCCTTTCCAGTGCTGTATCTTAGACAGTTCTCTTTTCATTCCYTCTTGGTCCAGCACTGTTATCCTTCCTATCTAAGCGTCTCTATTTCTCCCAGGACCCTTCAGCCCCTTCTCTCCTGCTGAACTTCCTGCATCCTTCCACTTTATTTTCCCCAGTGGCCTTGCAAGATTTCACACAGCCATCTGGGAAAGACCAGGGCTTGTTTCAAACAATAACCCCTCTGTGCCCTCCACAGTCCTCATATTGTGAAGCCCCCCTATTCCTAAACAAATGCCCCACTCAGAAAGGCAGTGTCCACCGTTCTCAGCTTGCTAAACAATTATTTTCCTGAGGGTGATGTGTCTGCAGCAAGGTAGGAAAGCAGTGATGACTCAGCTTGGGAGGGCAGGGAGGTTAAAATATTTTCATATGTGAGATAATAAATTAAAAGCCTTGCTGAAAAAGCTGGATGTTTTGTGAGTGACARTCTGGGAAGCCTATGAATTTCTAATGGAGTAACAGAGACAGAAAACTGCTGGAGAGGAGGGGACTGCCACTTAGATGGGTTTCAGAGAGGCTCGGGAAGGTCTGCCCTGTGCACAAAGCCTTCACTCCACGGCAGGGTTAAGTGGGCACAGAGCAGCAGACGGAAAGGGGCTGTCAGGTGGCGGTGAAGGTTCATGCTCTTCCTCACCGCTCKTTATTGTGCTCTTCTCCTTAGCGCTGCTCGGTGACCAGCGAATTCTCCTCCTGCTGTGCTCACTGGAAAGCATTTGAGCCGGGCTCCCTTTGATATTGTCGGTGGCACAGGGAGCACTTCGTCTTACTGAGTCTGTCCTTTGCTCTCCTCTTTCTGCTGTAGCCAAAGTAAAGGTTAAAATTGCTTGGGTTGATAGTGAGAAAGGGCCTTCTCTACTGAAATCTTTGGTAAAAGGCGAAAAATTTGTATGAGATAAAGAGAAGGTAGAGTACAGTGGCTACAGAGAGTGGTTACAATAGAAAARAGAGAAAATTCACTTAAAAAAATTGCAAATGCAGGTCACCTTCACTGCCTTTACCTCTTTACCCATACARGTGTTATCCCTGGCTCATTCCTTGCACAGCAGAGACATGTCCTATGTACAGCCTCTCTAACCACTGTATTTTTCTTTACCTGAGACCCATTAATCCCATGTTTATAGTTTTCTGGACTCACAGGAATACAATGCTTACAGCTGTGGCTGAGGTTAGGAGAACTAAGCATAAAACCAATGGACACGTAAGGTAAGAACCATGAAAGATCTCATCTGGACCTCAATACTAGAACATGCTGGAACTCATTTTTCCAGCACATTTTTCTCTATGTAAAATACAGACTTTCCCCTCTCAAGCACTTTGGAAAATAAATTCCTTCCTGTGTGGCAAGCACTCAGCTGCCATATTGATACATGAGAGAAAAATCCAGTCTGGATAATTCTAAGAGCCGGATTTTGCAGGCATGCAGCAAATACTGCCTGAGGCCACCCACTGAACAAAAGAAAAAAGACAGAACAAAATATTGACTGGCCCTTCATTAATTGTTGTCTGTCTGTCGTGCTCTAAATGAGGCAGCAGTCTCACTGAAGAAAAAATAGGCTGTGATGAGGTAATTAAAGACCGCATGAGAAGGCATATCCGCCAGGAGGTTGAATTAAAATTACTCTGACAGCCTTTATTCTGGCGATTCTTTCCTTTTGCTGCTCGACTTTGCAGCCTTAATGATGATGTACGAGTTCACAGCTGTGTGTCCAACAGGCTGGATAAGCCCATGGGGCTGTCCCATCACCCACAGATGTGGAGGGCGCTAGTGGTTTGGACACAAGAAGCACCCCATCATAACCAAAGACCTGAGCTTACCCCACCAGTTAGTGCTGGAGTTGTTGCTCCTGCATTGCATTGCTGACAACTGAGGGATGGCTTCTTGCACAGGGACATAGGCTGGAAGGTCTCTTCAGTAATTGAGGGTTTACCTGTGTGTCTTTGTGCTTTCTTTGACTTCCTGATGACTGAGATGAGAGCTGAGAGTGGTCTGCTTTATGTAGATGGCCATTTCTTCTCATTCCGTAGAGTATCTATTTGCTGCCATCCCCAGTTCTCTTCCCATCAACTTAAATCTCAGTTTTGTCATCTTTTCCCCTACCACTAGCAGTGGCTAAGAGAGGAGGGCAGAGCCTAGTAAATCAGGCAGTGGGTGGCTTATGTAACAAGCCACTCTGGGAAGCTGCCACTGCCACCAAGAACAAGTTGTGACTCCATTTTTTGTTACTGGAAAATAATGACTTGGAAATTCAAGGAGAAGTTCCTCAAAGTGATTCTGAAGACATCTGTAGGTCTGGGCAGTTTGTTTGCTGTGGTGGATAAAATCAGGCTGTTCTCCTCCCCCGGCTACTCGCAACATCAGCTGGKCACCCTGCTTCGCATGCAAGATGCTGACGGGGCTCCCAGGGAGTCCCCAGGCACCAAAACAGAGCCAGTTTCATAAACACTGCTAGCAGTGCCTCTTGAATGGTGCAGACATGGTGCAGTAAATGGTCTGTTCCCTTTCCTCCAGTGCTGCCCCAGAAAAGCTTAGCAAAACCATAGAATCATAGAGTTGTTATGATTGGAAAAGACCTTCAAGACCATCAGGTCCGACTATAACCACTTATTATTTCGGAAAAAAAAAGGGAAGAAATGAAATGAGGTGGTGTTACATTAGTAAAGTACCTTGTAGCCAACATAAAAAGGATGCCTTGGAGACAAGGCCTGCAGATTTCTCTTACCTGGTTTCTTTCATGTACAAACAGCACAAAGCTAATACGAGCATCTAAAAAAAGCCCTCAGCTTTATCCTCCTACGTTGGCCAGTGCAGCTTTAAAAGGAAAATAAATAAATAAATAAATAAATGAAAAGGGGAAAAAAGAGCGCCAAGTTGTCAAACAACTTCAATCTGATTCCAGGGCTGTGAATTGCATTAGTAGTGGAAGCACTGCTATGGTTTAAAGGCAAATTATATGTTTTGCCTCGGAAATTAATTTTTGTTTTTTCCCCCTTCTCTATTGGTAATTATAATCTGTCAGTTCACTCCCACACGCTTCTGCACATTTTATGCAACTCTTGATACTTGTAGCTGTCACTAAAGAAAACCTCTCAGGTTTTAAACTGTGACACATTTGTGTGGGTTTTGGTGGAAAAAAGATCCATTTATGGTGTTTGGGGAGATTTGCACTGCTTGGCCAGCTTCCAGCTGAGGGCTCACCAAAATACCACATTACAACAATTACCTTGTCAAGCACTTGGAAATCCAAATGCCGGTTGTAATGATTCCATCCGGGATTTAAGCACACACCCTACGGCAAATGCTCGGTCCCGCTTTCCGACTGTCCCTGTTCAAAGGGTGGTCACAGACACGGATTCAGCAATAGCCCCATGGGCTGCCCTGCAGGGGACTCTAATCTGAATTACTGTACAAAGTACATTGTGGCCATGTTAGCAATCCCTTTCAAAAGGAAGGTGCTGTCAGCTCCTTTAATTTAATTTGCTTTACCTTAATTTACTTTTGGAAATGAGCTAAATGACTAAATTGAATTATGGCTACTTTAACTCTGAAGGAGCATATCCACATARGAGCTTACTGTGGTTTCACTAATCAGCTTTACATTTATACCCTAAATGTATTTGGATTAGCTCTCCTGGGCATCCTCATGTAGACAAGCCTGGAGATACCCAGCTGGTCGTCTTTTCCTTCCTTGGGCTTGTTGCTCCGAGGAAGCCAGGGCTGGGTAAGTGCATTCCCAGAGGCTCTGTGTGTTATTCCATAACCAAACGCTTCCAAGCAGCAGAGCAGGGTACCCAGGTTGGAAGCTCAGGGAGCTGCTGTGTACAGAGTGTGTCTGTGTGGGTAATGTCTAGTGTAGACAGCAGGCAATCCTGATTTAATTTCACCAACTAACTGGAGCAAACTCCAACAGTGGTCATTTTCTGCTTGCACCGCAAGCAGAAATCTCAGATCCCTTTTGCAATAGAGCAGAGACCATTGCAAACTGGGGGAGCAGGAGACCAGACCAGCTCCTGCATTCAGAAAGGTGCTGCCACAGCACATGGACCCGATGCAGCAGTCACGGAGTGCTGGGACCCTTCACGCTGCACACAAGCGGGTTGTGCAAGGCCCAGAATTTGCCCGCTGCTGTAGCAGGTGGGTGGTCACTTGGCAAAAGTGTGAATTTGTGCTCGTTGTCTGGAAACAGGCTTTGGTGACCGCACTGGTGACCGACTGAAAAAAAAAAATCAATCCCGCCGTAATGGCTGAGGATTTCTGACCTTTGCTCTGCYATTGTAAATTTGTTTTTATTGCTTCTAATTGGCCTTGCTTTGGAGCAYGCACATTATCTAACTGCCAGGGCACTGGCTGTCATTACCGCCGGGTCATTTGATTTGTGCTTTTTACATTTGAGACTTGTCAGGCATTCCTAGAAAAAATACTGCGCTCCCCTTGCAGTGTCAGAGCTGGGCCTGGCTAATTGTGCAGCCCGGAGAGGGGAGCGCTTGGTGCAGCCACGCGCCGGTCGTTCCTCCCTGCACGCAAGGGAAGCGCAGCCCCACTCCATGGAGGGGGAAAGTGTAGGAATTAGATCAGCAGCTACATGACAGCAGCCAGATTTCTTGGCTTTGAGGACGAGAGGTTAGCCATTTGCAAGCCTTGATGATTCGTTTTGGTCCCAGACACATGGTTTGAATGACATTATTTTTTTTTTCTCCTCCCTTTGCAATTTAAACACAGAATCCTCTTCTATTTTTGCCTCCCTTAATTTGCAGGCAGCAAAGTTGCTAATTAAAATCTATTRCTCCCCACCTCAACTTGCTGCACTGTATGGAAAAAAAAATCAATAAATGTGTGTGTAAAGGAGCTCAAAATCCCAAGGGCTGTGAGAGTCCTTGTCCTCTGGGAGGTGATGGACCAAAACCCAACTCATCTAAAACATCAGCATGGTTTGTAAGTTGGCTAATTCATTTTAAGACATTTAAGATTTAGTTTCCTAAAAAAAATACCCAGAAATACCTCCATATTTGTTTTATATCTTATCAACATACARCACATTTGGTGTAACTGTGTACAGAGCCTGTGTTTCTGCACGCTGTCTGAGGGCTAAACCAAGCAACAGGAGCATCCCCAGTTTGAGGAACAGGAAAGAAAAAAAGCAGTACAAGAGTGCCGAGATGTTAGACCTCGACATGAATTATGCTTCTGCTGTATTTAGGGAGGAGCATTTTTGCTGCTAAAATCAAAGGTTGGCATTTTTCTCATGGGGTTCTGTAACTCAAAATTGTGTTGAGATCACAACACAGTTTTTTTGCAGGGGAGGGTTAGCAGTAAAGGTGAATGTATTCAGATTATTCAAGTGGTGATTTTTTTGGATGTACAATTAGCTGACTGAGAGATGTGGTATAAATTTGGTATTGTAATTGCTATGCCTCCGAGATTTCAATTTGCAAAACAGTTTTCATGGCAGCAAGATTAACCGCTGTATGTGCAGCGAGCAAGCAGCAGAGCTGTGATTCGATCGTGATGTCTGTCAGCTGGCTGTACATCCAAATCCCATTTTATCAGAGGAAGCTCGTGTGAACAGAGGGCTTGATACTCACGGTGCTTCAGTTGAGTGGACGCTTGGATAGCTGAAAATGCCACTAAGATCCCACCTGTAAGTGCTGCTGGTTAACAAGGGTTTCCTTTCTCTGTGCTATGTGGCTCATGAAAAACGAAGGAGGTTTAAGAGCCATTTTTATCCTCTTTGCATGGCTTGTGGCTTGTATTTCTGCATTCCCTTTGCTCGCAGAGATGGGGCGGGAAAAGCGGGAAGGCTGCACGGAGCAGCATCCATCCCGCAGTGCGGGCTGTGCCTCCCCCGCGGCTCCTCTCTGCCCAGAGCTGCAGCAGGGATGGGGGCGGCGCTGGATGGAGTGACCTGCGTCCCTGTCTGCTCTGTGGGATTCTCCATCAGGCCCATGGCTGCTGTTGCGCTTGGGTCTCCAGCAATGTCCAGGAAGGTGTCAGTGCCATTACAGACAGAAGGGAAAACACAGCATGTTCTCTCCTCAGGTCTCCCTCCCAGGGTCCTGATTTATTTCTTTTTGTCTTGGTGTGTATCTTTCCAAAACACTGCCATGCCATGGGTTGGTGACGGCAGTGGAGATGCGATTCAGCCTGCCCTGGTGGCACCAGGACACGAACACTTGGAGCGATGGGGAAGGCAGGTTCCTCATCGCCGTGCTGCAGGCAGCACTAGAGCAGGTGAAGGAGGAAAACTGGCAGAGCTTGGGCTGCCCACGGCCAGCACAGCAAGGTGGAGAGGAGAGGATGGTTCTCCATCTTCAGGTTGGGAACGGAGAGCCGGGTTGCTCTCCTCCTGCTTTGCCCAAAGCAAGGTCTCTTCCTGCAGGGGTTTTTCCTTCTCTCCATAGCCCGACACGCAGGGGCCGAGGCCACCCCATCGTGCTGTAAAACACAACCCCGTGGTGCAGAGGTGGCACCTGCACCAGGCTCTGAGGCGGAGGATGTTGGTTAAGGCCTTGAAGCAAACAGGCAATAAAAGTAAGCGGGATAGAAGTGCTGCAGAATTAACTGGTAATAGGGGAAACAGATTTAGTTTTCTTTGAGATCCCGCATGCACACTGTACACACACGCTCGGCAGGATGTTTTCTGGGAAAGAAGTAACGAGGCTTATTGGAAACCAAAGCCTTGCAAAGTAGGTCTGTTGCCCCGGACAAGCTGCGGGAAGCCCAGGAGCCGTTTCTGAGGTTGTGTCGTATTAGTCACTCGTCTCCAGGGTGTCACTGCAAAAGCACTTTGCATTTAGCTTAACTCAGCTCCTGCCGAGGTCAGTAGCCAAATCCCCTACTGCTTTGCTAGGACCATGGCCCAAAAGTGGCACTGGAAGCCCCAGGCTCCTTGGAGTTTTGCATTGCCATTAGACAGGGGCAGCAGGAGCGGGTCTGCTCAGAGCAGTCCCATCGCACGAYGCTTTGAGTGCTCTGGCATGGATGCAGCACCAGGGCTCACTGTCCTCTCCCTTCCTTCCTTTGGCAGGAAAGAAAAAGCGCCGCTTTTTAAGTGCCCTTCGCAGCAGGACCAAGGGAGCAGCCGCGCTGGCACCAAGACGGAGAAGCGGAGCCAGACCAAGCTCAAGGAGCCGACGCTCTCCACRGGATGCTAGGAGAGGAGCGCGGGGCCGCAGCGAAGGAGCACGTCCAGGGGCTGCAGCTGATAATGCTTCTCTTTTTCTCCCAGACAAGTATTTCTCGGATAATGAATAGGCCAAGGGGAAAGAGGGAGAGGAAAATTAGCTAGAAATTTTACTATTGATTCTTTTTTATTTATAGATGGTAAATCAATTTCAGGCCTTTCTTGTGGCTTGTCGCTGGGAAAAAAAGAGCGACCCAATGGATTTACAGAAATCATTGCTGCGGCTGAAAAGCCATTTGTTAAAACAAGGAAGCCTCTGCTTTCTCTGCCAGTCCCCCTCTCTCTCTCTTTCAAGGGGTAATCCATGCGATGAGCAGACGAGGGACTCCCCGCTGCCCTGCTGCTCTGTGCTCGTCTCTCCTTGCCGCGCCGACCTCCGAAGCTGCTCTGCTGATTGCATGTGCTAGTGCAGCTCGTGTGCATTAAGAGAGCCTGAGAAATAGCATGTGAGCCTGGCGCTCCATAGTGTGCTGCATCCTCCGCTGCATGGCCAGCTTTTCGCCCTGCTATCAGGCCATTGGAGGGAAGGGGTCGTAGGAGGAACATTACTCATGTCACTGGTCACGTTGCAGGCATGAAACTCGCTGCAGGACCAGCCTAACCAGGAAACCTTGGTCCTCTGGCAATAGCTGGCAGGGTCCAGATGTACCACTGAGGCACTGCAAGCTGGWGGTAAACACCAACAGGGATGAACCAGGGCATTGAGAGAGATATTGAGAAGGTCAGAGTAATGGAATGGTGCCACCTCCACGTCAAAGTCCAGGTGTAGCCTTGCCAGCACAGGAAAGCTTTGCTCAAGCCACTGTCACTAGACAGCCTTGTTTCTTGTGTGACTAATAGGAGATCACAGGAGATCTACCCATGACGTGGATTTGATGCTCAAGGTTAGTGRTTCTCCATCTGGAAAGCAGAAGGTGACCCTGAGGGAGCGTGGGAAGGGAAAGTGCACTTAGGAGTGCCTCACGTGAACCCAGTAATAGCTTCTGCAAGCAGTTTTGCCTGATTTCCTTCCTGCATGAGTTGGGCTGCAGYAGCAGCTTGGAGGAGAGAAGATTTGAGCCCCACTGGATAGAGAAGGAAAGGATGAACTGGATTGAGARTGAAGAGAGATGTGAAAAAAAGAGTGAAATGACTTCTCTTGGGGTGGTGGCCCTGAAGAAGCAGCAGCTCCTGAAAGTCTTTTGCTGGTCAGAGTGCAGAGTTTGTTGCTTTTCTCTCTTTCTATGATTAGGAATAGGACAAAACTCAKCTGGCTTCTCAAGCTGAGCTGTGTGCGAGATGAATGTATCCTGGGGAGAAACCAGGAGCTATGAGAAAAAATAAGAATTATAGACTAAAATGGACCTTCCAGGCAACTTAAATGTATTGTCCCTTGTGGAAATAYAGATTTTTCAGCAGTGGAAAACTGCTAAATCTAGGCATGACCAACACTGAAGCAAGGTTTGATCCTAAGAAGATCTGAAAGCAGCTCAGGTTATATTTATGTTGCTGGAATATAACAGGCCCCCCCATATGTTCACATGTGTCTTTGAATACCTTGGGCTCATTCTCTCCATATCTGTGAGAAGGATATGGGATGGGAGAGCTCTATGCAAATTCCTTTGGGCTCTTTTCAGTTCAGGAGATGCACAAAGCAAGCAGGGTCAAGGATAAGATCTATGTCCTGTGTTTCAGGGCCTCACACAGGCTTCTGCAGCTCTACCACAACACCCAGGCAGATCTTCTGCGAGCCACTGCCAGGTGGTTTCCATCCATTCAGCATTACTGCAATCACAAAGAATGGGCAGGCACAAGACAGGGCTGAAATTTGTGCTTGTATTGCATGAAAAAGGACCAGCTGCTGGGGATCTGACAGAATTCGAGCCGATTGCACCCATGTGTTATCCAGTCATTAGCTAGAGTTTCATTACTTGGGTATTTTCTCTCTAATAAGGAAAATTCGGTTGAATAAGGAAGAGCTGTCCCACCTGAAGGAAGGTGATTTAAAACACCTAACAAAGTTGATGTTGCTAGAGCTTCAAGGTGAGGGGGTTAAACTGTGTATGTTTTTATGGAGAATGAAATGCCTTAATATGATGAATTCTAAGGCATCTAAAGACATAGTGCTGGTTTGCTGTCTCCAAATGCAGAGTAATGAATAGTAGTGACAGTGTGATAATTAAAATGACCTCTTGGAAATATGGATTAGAAGGTATGCGGAAGAGGGGTAACTTCTCYTTTGAATTAATCTAATGTTAATTTATGACTATCATTGGGTTATATAGGACTTCAGTGGCAGACTTGCAAAGTTGGTTTTCTGGGAGAATTTTTTATATATTCCTTGAGGGGGAGAAAAAGAAAAAAAAAAACTTGCAGAATTTATTTATTTATGAATGGCTTTAAATATATATATATATATGCATATATGGAAAAAGAATTTTAAGTATTTGCTTGGTTCCTATGAGYTTAGCCAATAACCTCTAGAAATATATATGAATAAAATGATAAAAGCAGCTGTGTGTTGTCTCATTTTCTTTCCTTTCCTCCAAAAGGCTCCCAAAGCCGCTTTGCAAACTGGGAAGCAGATACGTGGGTTCTGGGGAGTCCTGCTGTCAGCTCTCAGAGGCTCCCTCTGTCATCCAACTCATCCAGTYAGCCTTTTAGTTTACACGTAATAACTGGATCTTCCTGGAAATCACTGGCTGTTTCTCACTGTATCCTACCACACACAGCCTGCCCCTCYGCCTGCGTTTTCCAAGCTTTAGCATAGACCTAATGTKACTAAARCRACCAACTTCCTCATCTCTGCAAGAGCTGCTTCCTTTCTGCTGAGCTCTTGGGACAGAGAGGACAGCTTGCAGATAGTTACCCATATGGGAAACGATGACATCCCATTTGTCAGCTCCCATGGCCTCTTCCCATCCTCTCCACCTGCCTAGCAAATCCATAACTTTCAAACATAAGGTTATGTGCCAGGAGCACCTGCCTTTTCATCAGCTGCACAGACTGCCTGTGCTGGAGCCTGCGCCCTCCATCCTCATTCCAGCCTATGAGGTTCAAACTCTTTTTTTTTTTTCCCTCTATTTCCTTATTTCCTTCCTGGTTACACTTGTCTCCTGCACCTTCTAGTGCACAAACACCTGCAACTGCTCCTACTCATCTTCCCACTCTAAAATCCGTATCATGTTTCATGTGAACTCCATAAAGTGAAGCTGTAGTGTTTCCTTTGGAGAGTGACCTCTGCTTTCGTGGTTCAGCAAGAAGCTGAGTGTCTTGAAGGTTCTCCCAGGTGGTTGGGATGGRGGCCTTTCACTGTCACCCTGCAATCAGGTTGTGTGATGGGGGCTCCCTGTTGCCTCCCTCACCTTRAAATGCTTTGGGAGACTCATGGGAGCTGAAAATAGGACGCTTTTTTTGCTGCAAGTCTCTGCTGCATTGTCCTCCATCTGAAGAGACAGTTCCTGCTTCACAGGCTACTTCTGGGCTGCTGTGGTTTGAGTCCTCTCTCCCCGGAGAAGGTGAGCTGTGTTTCAGACGCTACTAATGCAAACTGTGTGCTCAATTCTTCCCTAGCTGCTCGTTTGCCAGCACGTCAGGCCCACAGGGAAGGGGATGCCGTGAATTTCAAAAGGTCCAAAAGCCGATACGGGGCCCCAAACCGGGCACTTGACTCTGCAGAAATGCAGGTGTTTGTTCAGCACAGGTGGAGGGCTCTTCCTGGGGGGACTGGAGCCACGTTGCCCTGCCCCGTTTCCATTCCATCCTTGGGGAGCTGGAGGGCCCTCCCTGGGAGAACTAGCAGCGAATTTACCTCGCTTCAATCAGGAGCTGAGTCATGAATATTAAAATGCTGAAATTAACTTGTTTTCTGTGTGTTGTGCTCTCCTGACAAGAAAATCCTGCTACAAACCCCCGCACAGGCAGACTAACTGCATAGAATTGGCCCCTCGCTGTGAGGGGATTATATATTCTGATTTGGGCTGCGTTTGCAATTATTTTCTCTGCCACACCAAAGACCTTAACTGCAGAGCTGCAAACCAGTTATAGGAACATGAAATGCTTTGACTTCTTCACTAGGGAAACATTAATCCAATCACAGGTTATGTCCATTACAGACTATGGCAATATTGTATACAGAAATTCCCGGGAGAAGGTTCTACAAAAATTGGAATCTCTCTATAACCATGTTATGAGATTTACTGGTGTGGATAAAATGGGCAGAGTTAAAATTACCAGGCTGGCTATCTCTAAAAGACAGGTGAAGTCTGCTGGCTATCATTGCTTCATAATATTACAAATGGAAAAGCCCTGAAGTAATTGAATAACACATCTGCTGAAAAATCCTTGCGAACTGCTATAACCTGGAGATAGACTGCAAGGAAACAATGCATATACAGCACCAGGTTAAAAGGAAAAAAGATTTTCCTTACCTGGCACTGGAAGATACCGCAAATGTAGATACAGTTTCCCTCTCTGCCTCCTGTACTATATGTGTGTGCTTTACATATATATGTGTCTGTCTACTATCTCTTTTTATATGAAGTTAAACTAGTTTTCTCAGCAGCCCGAATATGGCAGTGGGGTCCCAGCCCTCTGGCAAAAGGATCCGCAGGTACAACCAGATTGCGGGGATGGGGGGACAAAACGTCCAAAGCGCAGACCCCGCTTTCCATGAAATTGTTCATAAGAGGAGTTCCTTATCATTGAAAGTCTTTTTTAAAAATCCAAATTTACAAAATAAAAAAAAAAAAATGCTGCTTTTCCAGCAAAGCACAAAATTTACAGTTTGGAAGCAATGTGAGCAGAAACCAACCAAATTAATCTAAACTGTAGTACCAGTAGCCTGGACAAACTATAGAAGCTTTTCTTACCAGCTAGTGTTTAGAAGGAAAATGAAGTGTTGGAGCCAGTTCTACCACTGGGGAGGAAAACTTTCTACCAGTCAGAAGGGAGCCAATGTCCTACTGTGATCCCATTTTACAGATGCAAAGTTATACTGAGCATAAAGAGTCCCCTGTTCATTTTGCACATTTAGGGCTGCTACACCTGGTATTTTCAGCCAAAGCCGCCTAAACAAATGCTAAGCATTTGTATGTTTGTATGCATTTCCCTTTGACACTAGGTGAAGGAGGGGATTTTTTTTTTTTTTTTTTTGTCTTTGCTACATATGTGTACTACTGAGATAACTGGAGATTGTTCCATAGCATTTATGCCTTATTTTAAGGGGGGGATTAAGAAATTCCTATTGGTTGACTTCTTTTTTTTCACACTTTTTTTTACTTGTTTTACTT